GGATGGATGAAAGCTACAGCCTTGACTTATTTGCAGGAAGTTTGAAGCTCATCTACCTTATTAATGGCGCAGGCCGTCTTCTCCCTCATCTTGCCGCTACTCGTCCGAAGGATCTTGGAGATGTCTTGTCGTGCGGCGAGAAGGTGAGCAACAGAGATGTTACTGTTGGTGAGGAGGGCAGAGCGCAGAGGCTGGTACACTCTACTCAATTTCTCTGCTTGGGTCTGTAGGAGACATGAAAGAGGAAAAAGGGTTTTGTAACAGTAAAACATACGACTAGAGGCATGGCTGATATATATGGGATTGAAGGCATCTCTAATCTTATTGCTGTTCTCACAGTAACGCTATAAGCCGATCATTTCCGGGGAAACAGGTAAACCATATTCCCTCTATAGATTATCTGTTGCTGATCAAGAGATCCAGTATTTGTTCAACTACGATAACAGCATTTCATCCCATTGGAGACATTCGATACTGACCCCTGTCCATCTGAGGACGACCTCTCTGTCGAGAGACAGAGAGGGCCAGAGAGAGACAGACAAAAGAGAGACAGAGAGGGCCAGAGAGAGACAGACAGAGAGAGAGAGAGAGAGAGAGACCATGAACTCCTTTTATTGGTCCAATATGTCATTACAAAAAACTCACAAGTGAATTATATATATACAATCATCCTAACAGCCCGAAATCCAAACAAAAAAAACCCCTCAAAAACCGAGAGTAAGCAATTCATCAATTACACAACATAAAATATCTCTACCTCCCCATATACAGATGAACTCTTGCAAGTCTGACACCATCTTATAATAGGCAAACTCTGTCCTAAGACGTGCAGCTACCAGCCCTCTGAACATCAGGTCAACATCTACAGAACCTTTCTCTTTCATTTTATTTCTCCTGCTGAGCCAAATGCTCATCTTTGCCTGACCAAACAAAAAATTAACCAAACAAATATTACGCCGTTGTGCTACTGAGTATCTGGGACCAAAAATAAACAGTTCGTTATTAAAACTGAATCCTAATCCGCCCACCCACTGCTTTAACAATGAGAAGAGAGGAACCAGTCTGGAACATCTCAGCCAGAGATGCTGTAGGGTTTCCTCAGCCTGAAAAAAGGCACACTGACTCCCTGATCTGTGAGAGACAAAGAGACAGACAGAGAGGGTCAGAGAGAGAGACAGAGAGATAGAGAGAGACAGATAGAGAGAGAGAGACAGAGACAGATAGAGACAGAGAAAGATAGGTAGAGAGAGAGAGAGAGAGATATAGGTAGAGACTTATGATTGATGTTGAAAATCAGCCTGTTTTTCAATGTAGTCCTGTTTCTCTTGACTGTGACTAACTGGATGTGCTCTCTTTCATCCTCTGACATGTGAGCTGGCTCTGAGCTCGTCTGCCTGGCTGTGTGTTTCCTGGATGGGGCCGCCTGTGGAGCTGGTTGACAGTTGCCTTTTGTTTCTCTGCTTCTGACACTGGTGTTTTGCGGGTACTATTTAATGAAGATGCCAGTTGGGGACCTGTGAGGCGTCCGTTTCTCAAACTAGAAACTCTAATGTACTTATCTTCTTGCTCAGTTGTGCAACG